GAGAGACGTACGATGGACGTACAAGCCAGTACGCGCAGCGTACAAGCCATTAAGCAAGTACGCGCAGCGTACCACTGAGTACGCCATGCGTACTCTTTCTGAGTGGGTTTGCATATTTGGGCTTCGGTTTGGGTTGTCTTCTTGGGCCCGATTGTTGGTGACTGGTTGGGCCATCTGAGAAAGGGTGTTTTGGATTAGAGCTAAGTCGTGGGCTTTTGGGTATGGCCCAAGTAAGGTTTTGGGCCCAATTTGGAAAATTGGGCCATTAATGGACCTTTTTGGTCTTGGGCCTTAGTGGGCCCAATGAGTTGGGTCAGTAGTGAGCCTGGTTAGTTGGGCCATCTATGGGGCATAGTGTTGAGGTGCAGCCTTGTATAATCTTTGATTATAGTTTCGGGTTTTTTTGGCCCAATTCAGTTCAGGAGTCAGTGTGCAGCAGCAACGACAGTGTAGGGTTTCTTGCGTAGCAGTTGAGGTGAGTCTTCTCACTATACTTACCTGAGTGGTAATACTGTGTGACCGGAGGGTCTTATTTGAGTTATCGACCGGAGGGTCTTATATGCTTATGCTGAGTTATGTGATATCATGCATTTGTCTTTGTGATTTATGTTGTATATTATTATGTGCTTTATTGGTTAGGACCGGAGGGTCCAACCCGAGTTGTGAGACCGGAGGGTCCTCACTGAGACACATGGACCGGAGGGTCCTTATCGAGATTTAGCCATGAGAGGCTAATTATTTGCGTGTGATATATTGGGGAACTCACTAAACTTCGTGTTTACCGTGTTGAGTTATATGTGTTTCAGGTACATTCCGAGATCGCGGGAAGGCACCGACATGATTGTGCACACCAGCTAGAGATTATGTTTTAAGGATTCTGGGATATTATCAACATTTTGTTGTCTTGTGTTTTGAACAACTTATACAATTGTGTTTTGAGAATTGTGAGATTGTGTTTTATGCGGTTTTAAAAATGAAAATTTTATTTGAAAATTTATAGTGTTACAATATATATATATATATATATATATATATATATATATATATATCTATATATATATATATATATATATATATATATATATATATATATATATAGGCTTAGGTTATTCTATTCTAACTAATTATTGTATGGATGTAGGAATGATTGTGGGCCAATCATTTTAGATATTTTAAGAAAGTAATTAATAAATATTATTGAATTAAAAATAATTGAAAAATACAATCTAATTTCACTATAAGGGTATTTTAGTCAATTGAAATAAATTTAAAAAAGGAAAAATTCCATATTTTTAGGGATAATTAATTCTCCTGATTTAAAAATTCTGATTTTTTTAATCAATTCAAATTTAACATAATTTTTAATTATACCGGATTTTATTCCGTTAGAATAACATTCTTTTAGAATGGCGGTTTATAACATCCTTTAAGAAGACATAAATAAGAAGAAAACATAAAGAAGTATATTATTAAAGAATACACAAAATCGATTTTTGAAATAATAATATATCAAATAATTACATTGTATGATTGTGATGCAAAAAACATTCTTGAACAATAACATTCTGAAAAAATAACAAGTGTAATTCTTAAAAAAAAAAATCTTATATTTTGTGTGTTATGAATATTTGATTCATTCTTCGAGCCATTTCTATAAGGTCTTAAAGTCATTCATTCATGCCCTTGACCATAACATTTTATGAGAATAACTGTCATGAAATCATATTCTGTCAGAATAAGTGGCAATTCGACAGAAACATCTATTACAAAAAAAATAATAATAAGAAAAAAAAATTCTAAAAGAATCATTAAATCTAAAGTGCAATTATCATTTAATTCTAACAGAATATGACATTTTAAACTTTGGCAGAATGCATACAACATTTAAAATTAGCAATGTGAGTTGTAATTCTGACAGAATAATTAGGGCAATACAATATGATCATAATACGTAAGGACAATTCTAGACCACACGAGTTGCTAGTAATTCTGACAGAATGCATACCACATGGTTAGATTCTTTTTTAGGCATTTCAACAAACACTTATTTGACATTATCATAAAACAAACCAAATGGTAAGTATCAATTTCTTAATCGTAAAAATTACCAAACAAAATAGGCCCAAAGAAAAAAAAATACAAAAACCCATATGAGATACAAAAACGTGAGTATATAGGATGTTAGAGTAAATTAAAAAACAGTGAAACATAAAACAAATTAGCTCACTGCTTTGACATATGAAATTAAACTCATTAACACATGAACTATTTTGTGATTTAATTAATACAAAAACCCATTAATATAAACTGAAAACAATTGGAATGCAATTTATAATCTGTCATATTGAATCAAAACATTATCAAATTAAATAATTATCATAACACCACAAATTAAGATGTTATCGAGGAATTAAATATAATTAGATATTAAAGCTATTGTCGATCAAAAGTAAAATCAAAATCAAAATATGTGTCATTTAGAGATAAAAAACTGAAATTAAACTAACCTTGTAGACTTGAAATCGTGAATATCAATTTTCGCTATATGTTATAAACCTCAACCGTTCACAAATCCAGTAGCTTTTTTCGTTTTCGGAGTTTGATTCAAAAAAACAATATGAATATCAACAAGAACAAGATGAATATCAACATCTTGATATCTAATCGTATAACCGGCGACATACTAGATGGATCAGATGCAGAAAAAACAAGAATTGAATCCGATGGGGAGGTGGACGACAATGGTGGCTTGGTTGAGGCTGATCCGGCGCCTCCTAAAAAGATCGGAGCGTAGTTTAGGTTTATTGAGATGGAAGCCAGATTTAAGGAATCCATCCCTTAAATAAATGATATCAGTTTTTTTATTTTGGATATTAATTAATATGTATATGTAATATTACTAATCTATCCTTATTAATATATTTATTTATTTATTTATTTTTGATTGGCTCACAATCATTCATACATCCACACAATAATTAGTTAGAAACTTAGAATATTTGAATATATATATATATATATATATATATATATATATATATATATATATATATATATATAAACAGGATCTCGTGAGGACACCTTAAAAACAATTTTAAAAAAAATAAACAAAATACAAATCATAAAATCGAGCATAGTACTATATAGGAGAAAAAAATTGAAGAAAAAAAATTTGGATCATTAAAATTGAATCATGGATCATAAAAAGTGAATCATAGATCATAAAAATGATCCATGATTCAATTTTAATGATCCAATTTTTTCTCTCCAATATAGTAATATGTTCGATTTTATGATTTGTATTTTTTTTCAATTTTTTGATGGTGTCCTTACGAGTCCTCACATGATCCTGTTTTATATATATATATATATATATATATAATATATATATATATATATATATATATATATATATATATATATATATAAGGTTAGGTTCATTTGACACGGGTCTAATTTTGTGAGACCACTTTTTTCTAATGAAATATTCTAATATTCTAATATTTTGTTATTCAAAAAATATAATATTCTGATATTCTAAAACAATATTTTTAACATATTTTACATTGAAATATTCTAAAAGCATATAATGTTAGAATATTATACGTATTTTATTTTTACGATGGTTAGAATATTAGAATATTTCACTAGAAAAAACCGGTCTCAAGGTCTCATAAAATTATGTCCGTCTCAAATGAACTCTTATATATATATATATATATATATATATATATATATATATATATATATATATATATTAATGTAGGTTTTTTTAATGAAAAAAGTTTTTCATTAAAAAAACAACTTTCTATCCACTATATAATTATCAGTTTCTCGTATCTTATTGGAACTGTTATTTTTTATTTCTTAGGTAAAGAGGCCACGTGCTTATTTTTTTAAATTTTGGTGTAATATTTGAAAATTAAAAATTTTGAATTTTTTAAATATTTCCTGACTTTGACCGATTTTAACCAATTTCCGTCAAACACTCTAATCGTAATCGGTTCAAGGTCGTCAACCAATTAATCGGCCACTAATGTCGATTTCTGGAACATTGCATTGTGGTGTTTTTTTTTTTTAATTTAATATTCAAATACCACCTTCCAATAGCTTTTCTAACTAGATGCTTTGCTTTGAATATACACCAAGACATTGTTTTAAGTCACTTTGAAGTATTGTATTATAAATTATACAAAATATACTGAACTATTGTACTATAAAATATGTTGTATTGGTTTGAACATAAGGGCATTATTAACTTATTATGTTCTAGGCATTGAAAACCATTGAAGCGGCCCTGGAAAAAACTTAAAAGGAAAAGCTCATTGACGATACAATAGCTTTTCTAAATTGCCTTTTATGTATTGTTTAAAGGAGTTGTCTAATAACAATTTGTTGAAAAATGCAAACATAAATTGGTTGAAAATACATATGGGATTATGGGTTGAATAGTTTGTTAATTAACAAACTCTAGAAATTTTACATTTAAAAATGCTACTCCACGTCTCCACTAGCTTTTTCAGTTTTCATGAACTTTCAAAAAAACCTCCTATTTTATATCTTATTATTAGAAACCAAAAAAAGAACTATAATAAACATATATTTTCCGACTCTTTCATTAAACTCATGAAATTTTTCAAGAAAAAATTTGTCAACATATATTACAAACATAAATATGAAATATTATATTACGACTTTTATCGTTTCCATTATAAAATGATAAAAATATGCGATGAGTAATCATTAATCAATGAAAATTAACAAAAGAAAACTAAGCATGTAAACTGTGAAATGAAAATTAACAGGAAAGAAAAACTAAACATGCTCCTTCAAGAATATTTCGTCCACTCCATTAAAAAACATTCTAATCAACCAAGCAAAACCACAATTTCAAATCTAAAAAGCACAACTCATGTTACTCAAATCTATTTATTTCCATATCATTTACAAATGATCAAAACCGAATTAAAAAAACAAAACTCAGATATCAAACTCCGAAACTAAATAGGAAATTCCATCCTCACATTCGACTCGATACTCTCCACACCCTCACAACGCATCCAATCCTTCGCACAAAAAAGCGCCTCCACCATCTGTGGACTCAACTTGCACCGATACCGGTCCATTTCCTTCACACCCGTCTCAAACACCGATTCCGGACCCACACTCGACACCGGAATCATCAAAATATCATGAGCCATCTTCGATAAAGTCGGGTACTTACTCTTATTCAATTTCCACCACCCCATAACATCAAACTCATGAATCCTTGGCAAAAGTGACTCCTCCAAATACTGATCCAATTCCGACTTCGATTGCTGACTCGTACTCTCCATAATAAAAACATCAAAATCCGTAAGCCCAAGCCCATTCCCTAAACCTCCCGCACCCGCATCATCTTCTTGTTTCACAACTCCGGAATCACCAATTCCGGAGTTACCATTTAGTAAATTGAGTGGCAAAGGAAGTCCAACATACTTTGAAAAAAGCTCATGAATCCCTTCATCCACAGTGTTTATATAAGAAACCGCTTCCTCCCCATAAATCATTCTGAAACTGAATTCAACTAACTTCATTTTAAACCTCGGATCCATAACAACTGCAATCGCTAAAACCAAACAACAATTTTTCCAATATTTATCGAAATTTTCTTGAATCGGTTTTGTCATGTTGCTAATGACATCATCTTCACTCGTGGAGGCCCGGGCAAGCTCTAACTGAATCTTCCATGCTTCATGAAAGAACATATTAGTCGTGGGTATACTCGATGATGTCAGCAGATTTGCGGTGTTGTAAAGTAGCTTTAAATACGTGCAAAGATTGTCAATAACTTTCCAATCTTCATGAGTTGGGATTTTATTGTAATCAGGCTCTAAAGTATCCAAACAAGAAAACACTTCTTTCAACTCCGATGCCGATACCAACATTTCGTAAGTTGTATTCCATTGTGTTTGATCATCGAGTGATAAAGATTTAGTACTCATTACTTGAAGTTGTTGTTTTAAAGCAACAAACTTTTCTTCTAATGATTCCGATGTTTTCACATACTTCACACAGTCTCTAACTTTCTTCACGGTCTCTTGGCCCGCGTAACGTTAAAGAACGGGTCAAGCAGTCTGTGAAGAGTAATTGACCGTTAAGGACATTTGGGTTCTTTTCGGAGATTAAATTTCGAAGACTATAGAGGCCGGAATCACTAACGGGCTGGTTTATAGTGATGGAGAATAGTTTCCCTTCGATGTTCCAATCGGAAAGACAAGCGGAAACGGCATGGGAAAAGGCGGAATCGGAATCAGGGTACGGTTCCATTACGACGTTTAGTAGCTTCCGATGCATTTTCCAGTCGCTATCGATGAATTGTCCGGTTACAAAAACATAACCGGTTGTATGTGAAGAGTTCCATAAGTCAAGTGTGAGAGAAATATTTCCCGGCATTCCTTCAATCAGATTCCAAATCCTTTCCTTTTCTTTCAAATATGTCGCCCCACAATCCCCTTGAATTCTACCAAAATTACCAATTTCAAATCCGGGATTTAAGTTATGAACAAAAGCCATGAAACCTGGATGTTCCACCATCTCAAGTGGGTAGTCATGGAGTATGATCATTCGGGCCATTTCTTGGCGGCTCGTGGCGGGGTTGAAGGCGGTGGAAGTGGTGGTTCTGTACCGGCGTTTTGGTCTATCCAACTTGGGAATCCTGGGGGTCTTTGGAGTCAACGGGTCCAATGAGTCATGGTTTTGGTTACGGAGGCACCTGGTGACGTGGCGTTTGAGGTGACTGGTGCCTGAAACTTTTGGGCCATTAACGTATGATAGTAAATGTTTGCAGTGTTTACAGCAGGCCTTTCTAATCTCTTCACCCACGTTTACAATTGTGAAATGTTCCCAAACTATTGATTTCTTTTTTCTTCTTTTAGTAGGTTGTTCTGTGTCCATGTCCATATCATCCAATGGTATGTCAAAATATTCTGCTTGCATTTGTATGTTGACCAGTGGGTCACTTTTGTCCATAGGTGTAGTATCCATGAGGTCCTGGTTTAAAAAGGAATTTAGAAATAAGTTTTTGTTTATCCTAATCTTTTGGTCATTCTAAACAAATCAAAACTTGGGTTCGTAAGAAATCCAAATCGGAAAATCCGAGCGATATGACTAAACAAATCTAGACACCTCATAATCGAAAATTTTAGATGAACATGGATTATTGACATCAATCGATGAACCCAAACAGAAAATAATTAGAAACATGAACAAGAAACACGAGTTCTGTAATAAACAAAAGGCATCATCGCGAACGACATAAACAAATAGTATACGAAACTAAAGAGGGTTAGCGTTTGAGAGTATAATAAGGGGGTGTTTGGCTTAGCTTTTGACAGCCAAAAGTCCTTTTTGGAAAAGAAAAAAAACAAAAGATGTTTGGCAAAACTAGTTTTAAAAGCTACTTTTGGAGTTTTGATACAAGGAAAATGAACTTTTTGGAAAAGTCAGGAAAACCTGACTTTTTGTAACTTTTCCAAAAAGGACTTTTGGGCTGTGAAAAGCTAAGCCAAACATCCCCTAAATATATACCGTGATGACTGAGGTCAACGAAACATCCATCATCAAGATCGATAAAATCCAAGATGAAGCCTGCAATCGTGATCCAGAATCCTTTGGGCTTGAAGTCTTGAACCCAAGATACGAATTTGAGAATTGGAGTATAGGACTATGAATTAGGGTTTGTTGATTTATAGAAAGACTAAAAAGGAACAAAGAAGATCTGTAAAGGAAAAGAAAATTATAATGGATATGGACTTATACGATCCATTAAATTGGCAACGTAAGAGGTGCTCAGGCCGGATTTTATTTTTATTTTTTTTGGATCCGGATAGTTTTGGAGAATCCAGAATTTTAAAATGTTGGGGTATTTAATGTGAAAAAAAAAACAATTTCTGGGGCAAAAATACATATATTAATGTAAAAAAATTTAAACCATTGGGGCATGTACCCCTCCAAACTCTCTTATGATATAAACCGGTTACCGAGTGAAAAATTTTCATCGTACAAAAACCGGCCACAATCAGTTCAAACTTCAAAACAGGTTTGGAAAAAAAGAACTATGTTTCATCATTTTTTTGTATTTTGTGTGAATTTGATTTAGAATTTAACAAAATTTTTATAGTTGATAAAAAACGAACCAATAAGCAAAAAACATAGCTATCACAAACACTTTTGTAAAAACTACATGACAAAATTATAATTTAATCAGAAAACCAACAAGAAAAACCAAGGACAAGTTCAATCATTCAAAAACACAAAACCTATTTGATGCTGGAACAATACATTCACATCCAGTGGTAGACTTGTGTAGGGCATTTGGGGTCTCGGGCCACTGCTCTGATTCAGCCTCGTAGTGTAAAAATAATAATAATAATAATAATAATAATAATTCTATTAGGTGCACCGTCTTCATATATGAGTGACACCGCTATTCAAATGTTCTGAGTCCGTCAGGCAACTGTTCACACCTATTTTGAGAAACTACTTTGATGATAACATTGTTTTTATATGCATGTGTAAAATTGATTTGTGCTAATAATCTACTAACAGTAAAAACATTAAAATCATCAAAATGTTCCAATTAAGTTATACTTTATTAAATTGTTTTTTTTGCGATGCATGAAATACGTAATCAATAACAATTAAAAAAAAACAAAATATAATATTATCCGGAGTTCTAAAATACATTTCACACCCTCTCATTACCAGCTTTTAATTGAAACCTCACGACTCGAACTATGAACCTCCCATGTAGGGAGGTCAATGTCTTACCTGAGATATTTGGTTAACTCTTTTAATGTGGTTAAATCTTGTAATGATAAACTACCGATTACTATGATCATTTGAGTAACTCTTTAAAACAAACCGTAAATGATGTTTAAAGTCTTTTCACCGTTCATTATCATTTCAACAATGATTTGTGGGACATTCAATGGTGGTAGCTAATTTCATGAATTCTAAATTGATTGCAGCTCGTAGTTCATTTGCTCCAAAATCCATTGTCAAACAACTTTATATGGGTATACCACTTTATTTCTAATTTTAAGAATACAATGAATTTATAAATGAATCTTAATATCGTGACACTTCTGATCCTCAGGCATATGACTCAAATTCAAGTGCACAAGCCCGGACCGTGAATCATATACAAACTCGACCTCACTCGGTCCAACCATACACTTTCTTGGCTCAGTCATCGAGTACGCACCAAACCTTCCACATCCCTTAACCTTCATTTCAACAACCGCGGAAGAGCCACCACTTTCAATCAAATATTTCAAATCATCAATAGCTCCACCACCATTAAACATGTCAATTAGCCCTAATGGAGCAAACCCCAACCCCAATCCCAAAACCTTAATCGGCGTAACCATAAATACTTCATATTCAAGAACATTTAACGAAACCGGAATCACATCATTGTTCGGTAAAGCTATCAGATCTCTGGTGTGGTGACTGTACATTGCACAGTCACCACGCCAGTCGGGACCCAATGCAGCCTCAGCAATGAGGTGCACGTCCCGACCACTAACCGATCCGGTTATCGGATCGGGCCGGTTTTCATGGAACGTGTTTTTGTGTTCCATGGCGTCCCACGCTGCTCCTTGACAATTATAAACACCAATAACACCGGTGTACTTATTCATGTTCCATATCTTCAACAAACTAACACCATCACGGGCTGGGTCAACAAAAAGACAATCTTTAGTGGGTCGACCCGGCAATCGGGCCCGAAGCACGGATCCATCAGGCAAAACAAGTTTTTTCAACAAATCGAAATCGTGCTTCCCGGGAGCATCACTATCAAAAAAAAAATTAAAAATAAGCTATGATTATTTCTAAATTTTACGGGATTTTTATGGTATTGTGATTCGTTACCTCACGTATATCGGCCCACCACTTATGGCCCTAGCGGATGCATGGTACTCAGCTGCAGGATGAAGCGAATGGAACATGTCCCAATCGGGCTGCATAAATTCTCCAAGAAATACGCTGTTGTACGCTACGGATGCAATGTGGATCGTGTGTGACACCGGGTCACGTGGGTAAAAATCATCCGAAGCCCGAACCACAGCCGTCTGTTGCGATCTGTACATGACATGACTTAATCTGGTAAGCTATATATGAGTATTTTTATTTAATACAGAAAAAACGACTTAAACAGTATCAGACAATACTTTAGTATCAGAATATACTTACGAGTAAAGCGAATCGGTGTTGTGACTCATGCAGTCAATGCAGCCATTATCCGGGAAATTTCGAGCGACAGATGCATCAAGCGCGTGATGATATTGCCTCGTTATGGCAACCCGACCACCTAAACCGGTACCAAGTGTCTCCAATATGGATTGTACATCAACTTTGACACCATCAACACCGGCATTCGCTAAATACGCATGTAAATTATCGTAAAATTTGAACACTTTTTTCGGGTTCATTACGCCCAAACCTTGTATAGCCAGCGAATCGGCTTTCCATAATGGATCATTTTCAAGAACATGTTTTGATACCTTTGGAGATTTCATCACCGGCCCGTATTCCTCCATCGGGCCAGCCTCGGTGCTAACCCCACCCCAATATCCTACAATCGCATGCCACACGTACACGTATTTCAACCCGTATGTGTTTTTCGCGATATCGACTATGTTCTTGATCCCGATTGTCGGGTCATTTTCGGATTGGAACTTTTCGTTTTCTTTGATCCCGGTTAGCCTCATCAACGGTTGTGATTCTTCGATCTTTTTCTTGTCCGATCCAACGGACTGCCATCCATCGTCTATGATCACAAACTTTGCAGGGGTCCCACCATCGGCTAAGCTTTTTAGCCCGGACTCGACACCTTCTTGAGTCACGTCTTGGTAAAACGCGTCCCAAGTGCACCACCCGAACCAATCGAGAATCCCGGGGAGTTTCTTGTCTTTTCGTTGCTTGAACGAATTCAGATGCAATTTAACTGTGTTAATTGCATCTGTAATTGTACTAAAAGGGTCTGTTCCTACTCCCACGTAAACCGTGCGAGTAAAAATAGACCCTTTTACGTCCGAATCGCCGCTTTCGATAGAAAGCTCGAGCTCGTCTCCGGAATTACCATGGAGACAAGCTCGAAATGACCCTTCAATCAAGGGTAAGAAAACAATGTAAATGGGTTCGGTTTGGGTTTCTCCAATTGTTTCCATTAATAGAAACTGTGTTTCTGATGGGATTTCACTTCCTTTACTTCCCATCTTCTGAGCCATCCACCATAGCTTGAACCGGAAGCATGCCATGAACCGGACATCGTGAAGTTTCCCCAGTGACACCACGTGATGACTACTTTCTTCTTCAAAATCCGACCCGAGGAAAACCCCATCTGTGTGACCCGAATCCGACGCGGATGAGATACTCACGTTTTCCGACACACCTGTCAAGATGGTTCGGTCCTTCACCACCAATCTCCGCCGTGAAATCTGAACCACTGGACCAATTGTCATTTCCGCTTGTTCTTGATCTGTTTTATCCCTTTTTTCGGGGTAATCCAACACTGATTCTCTGTTCTGTTAACAATCGAAATAAAAAAAAAATCGACTTCGAAACCAGCTTTACGAATGGGGAAAAAAGAGAGATTGTGGAATTGAAAAGTACCTTAAATGAAGACGAGATGAATGCTCTTCGATTTCGAGAACTGATTGTGATTTTAGAGGATAGATGAGAGAAGAACGTGATTGATGAGATAGAAGGTGGGTTGAGATGGGTATTTATTGGGGGAGATAAAGATGTGTCATGAGGGATTAGCTTGAGAGATCGAATCGCCATGGCTGCAATTTTTTTGGTTTTCTATTTCTGCAGTTTCTTCTCTCTCTTGTAGGATCTGAGTTGTTATTTGTCGATTTGGGAATGTTCACATCGACCCTTGAACTTCTAAGGATTGTTATTTGACGCCCTTATATTTTTGATAAATGCCTCCATTTCTTCTTTGACTTTTGAAAGTCATATTTCATCCAATGAACTTTATTTAAATTAGCTTGTTACATGTAAAGTGTGGGTTGAAGATCTTCAAGAAATTAGTGCATAAGTAGAATTATTGTACGTGCCCATGAGTATACTAATAAAGGTCTTGAAATTTTAGTTTTTACATCTTTACAATCGGTATTCATTGATACATTTGCTAAGATGTCTTTATCATCCACGATTGAAAGCACTAGCAATTTAGTTTCTAAAAGAAGTCACACATAAGTCTATAAAAAAGTTTTCTACTGTGTGGAAAATGCTCATGATTTGCACTATATAGATAGTTGATGTAACAATGAAGATAAATAACTTAAAAGAAATTTACTTAAAAAATAAGATAAATTTTGTTAGAATATCAAAATCAACACTATAACAAATTAAAAATAAAGAAAAGTTAAACCTCAAGCATATATAGATATATATTCTTAACAGATTATATCTCTATTATATTACCTTTTGTGCTTTATACCCTAAGTTGATTTTGGATTCGTTGGGAGTTATGTCAGCTTTTCTTTTATGAAAAATAATATATAGAAAATGTATATAGTAATAGCATATTTAGTAACAAATCATCTACAAATGTAATTTAGTAGAATGGTTGAAAGAAGTGCAATATCTAATTAACATTCAATGGATTAAATATAAATATAGTACGATGTTACGTTGACATTCAATTGAATATAAATTTTAATGGACAATGAACCGTTGAATAAGAAAAAAAAAAGTTTTATAATTTTGAAATATATTATACTTAACTTTTGTATAGTTCAACACTTCAAATGCATTGTATTAAAAAAATATTAAAGTTATATATAAACGTGATAACTGATAATCAATCCATTAACTTTTAACTTTTATAAAAGTTCAAGAATTTTGAATGTCACTTAAGAAAGAGTTGGAGGTGCAATGTGACACTTAACTAATGAAGAAGGGGGTAAGATAGATTTTATGATAAAAAGGTTAGATAAAAATGACACGTTGGATCTACGTTTCTTTTTATAATAAAAAGGTTAGATAAAAATGACACGTTGGATCTACGTTTCTCCAATCGAAAGTCGTCTACATATAGCACACTTTTTTGGAGTTTTATAATAATATAATATATTCTAAACGTTTTAAGTTACGTAGTATCATAATAGTTGATGAAAGTGACTTTTTATGGGATAGTCACAAAATGACTAAAGTGGAGGTCGTATTTTATTTAAATATTAATAATTAATAGTTTTTGGAATATTTATTAATGCTAATACTAATCAATAATTAATGAACAAAAACCTTAAAAGGGAAAGTTGTTTGCATTTTAAAATTGATGGTACGTAAGGTCTTATTTTATTTTTCAAATAGACGTATTTTGTGTCGTACCGAAATACAAAATCACGTGGATAAAATATCCTTAAGTAAAAGTTAAAATATGTTGGAATTCATGTTTATATATTTTTAAGAACTTGTAAAGACCTAACTTACTATTGGTACACGCATAGATCCTGTATAGTTTATTTATATATTCGATTGGGTTTTTGTTAAAAATGTTTTTTATTCAATGTCTTCATCTCCAATGGCAAAACATTTTCTTCTTGTTATCCAAGAATCTTCCACATATAATTGACCATATATATGAAAACTTTCTTCATTAGATATATGTCAACCGTATTTAGTGATTATCCTTGAATCTTGTTGATTATCGTTACAAAGCAAATGGTAAAAGGTAATTGACTCCTATAAGGTTTAAAAAATATCAGTTATAAACATTTTAAAATTGTCATAGAAAATATGTATGAATTTTTTTTGCAAAGAGAAAACCATCTATGTTTTTCAAAAACAAATATTTCATCAACTAAAGAAATAATCTAACTAATCTTGCATAAATGACTCTGATATCAATTGTTGAGTTTTTATACAAAGATCTGGTTTCACAATCGGTAAAAATGACAATGGAAGCTTTAAAAATGTTGAATAAAACTAAAACTGTTTTACCCACCAACAATGGCGGAGCTAGAAATTTTGATATGGGGGTACAAACATTGTCAAAACATATTTTATATAGTTATCCTATCCTGGACATTAAAACTCATGGTACAATCCCTTTATATGGGGGTACAATAACATAGAACATGTTTACAAATAATTTTTTATATATATAAAACATTTTTTTGGGGATGCTGTAGTACCCCCACCGCCCTATGTAGCTCCGTCACTGCCCACCAATGATCATTTTGCAATAGTTAGAAAGATTAAAACAATCATAAAAGAGAAAACGTAACAACCTTTGAAGACTTTGATCCTCATGAGAGGTTGGAAGTTGATGAAGTATGACATGAAACTCTAAAAAAAGAGTTCTCTAGAAGTATCCACCAAGCAATAGTAGAACCATCAAAATATGCTACTATTCACTTGTAATTTGTTGTTCATAAGCCTTTGAAATATATATCAAATATATGTTCAAAGGTGAAGCAACAAATAGACTTTCTTCTAGCATCAAAATGCAAGAGAATGGAGGAGGGAGAAGCCTTCAAATTTCGAAATTTGGCAACCCTCATGGTGCTCTCTCTATTTTCGGATCTATAATCCAAAAGGAAGAAGAATATGTAATAACTTGTTTCAAATGCCTTCCATGCCCTTTGTAGCACCCGATTACTGCTACGCATTTAAATTAAAGAAAATATTGCATTTTACTCTGGGACTCGGCGATTTGGAGGCCCAACTCGTCGAGTAGACTCGACTGTTGAGCGGGGGTTTAAGTGACCTGCTCGACGAGTCGGGAGACCGACTCGACGAGTAGGAGTTGTTTGGACAAAACCCTAATATTTAGGGTTTGCACCCTATTTAAACACCTTATCTTAGCCTCCATCGTCCCTTATACTCCCAGAAGACATCATATTGAAACCCTAGCCGTTTTTGTGTGTTCTAAGGCCATTTTGGTGCTTTTTGGTGGGTTGTGAAGCTTGAGAAGAGGAAAGGAGTTTGTGAGACCAAGGGGAAACAAAAGGATCCAGAGTTGGAGCTCATTTTCAGCTTATTGGAGGTATGAAGTTGAACCTTTGTCTATAGATTTTGATTTTGGGCCTTTTCCTTCATCTTTCTAAGCCCTAGAGAGGTTGTATTCGAGATTTGGTGTTGGAAGTCAGTGTATGCTTTAGATCCAGGTCTATTGAGGGGTTTTATGGCATAAAGGTGCCCATTTTGTTGCCATGAACACCCCATGCACTTTGGAGGCCATCTTTTATGGCTTTTTGGGCCAAAGACCCCTTGCATGTGTACCAAGTTTGGAACTTTACGTGTAAAATGGACATTAGGAGGCCAAATCTATGGTTTTGGTGTGTTAAGACCCATTTAAATCGACTGTATAGTGTTGGTCAAGGATGGACTCGACGAGTTGTTCTTGGGACTCGGCGAGTCGCGGTGTATTGACCATCAAATCCTTTCTGTGGATGGACCAGTTGATAGGGAGGAAGTCTCGTGGATGTTTAGACACGAAAAGGGACCTGGGAATCATGGGACTCGACGAGTGTATGAACAGACCCGGCGAGTCCAATGCAATCTCCCAACTTATGAAGACGGACTCGGTGAGTTCAAGAGGAACTCGGCGAGTCATCGACTGAACATCTTCTGGATGAAGATGAACTCGGCGAGTTCAGGAACGAACTCGGCGAGTCGATGAAGATTTGTCTAATGTGCTGTTGAAGGCGAATTCGTCGAGCTCTTGCTAGACTCAACGGGTAGGAACGGGTTTATGACATTATGTGGTTATGGGGACTAGACGAGTTGGCGGGCCAACTCGGCGAGTCGAGTCAACCAGATGTTGACTTTGACCAAAGTTGACTTTGACCATGGATTTGACTTGGACATGGACTGGGATTGAGTGACCCTTGTAAGGTTTACGCGTATGAGTTGATAACTTGAAGAGTTATCGTGTAGGGATTAAGGAATCGGGGAGAGTCGATTTCCACACCGAGATCAGTGCAAACACTACGCGACAGCGAGGTGAGTTACCTTCCAGTAGCAGTGGGTCTATGGCCACAATGTCGGCCCACTAGTAGGAGATGTATGTTAGATGTTTGTCTTTGTGATATTCATCTAGGTTTGCCGCTACCTGTTATGTTTTATGTGCTAGCATGATATAATGTTATGTGATAGTGGTGGTAATAGGGGGAGATAGTCCCTAAATTACCGGTCGATAGGACCGAAGGGGTAAATTAGTACCCAGCTATGCTAGACAGATTATGTTATATGTAATATGGTATTATGTGATAGTAGTAGGGGTGAAATAGTCCCCAGTTACCGGTCGAGAGGACCGAAAGGGTAGGCCAGCACCCAGATATGTTAGGCAAGGTCACCGAACGAGAGGACCGAAGGGGTAGGCCAGCACCCAGGTATGCTAGCCAAGGTCACCGGTCGAGAGGACCGAAGGGGTAGGTCGGGCACCCAGATATGACTGCAGTATGTATGTCATGTGAATGTATGGTATGTGGTATGATGGGGGAACTCACTAAGCTTCATGCTTACAGTTTTCAGTTTTGTTTCAGGTACCTCTTCAGCGAAGGGGAAGGAGCCGGCGCGGTAGCGGCACATCACACACACGTAGAATTTCCGCTCTACGAGATTTCTGGGGATTGTACTCTGACATTGTTACTATTTTATGATATGATTTTGAGACATGAGATTATGGTTTTATGAAATGAAGTGACTCAATTATGTTTTCTTATAAATGTTTTCTAAATTGGCATATCAAAAATGATTTTTTTTGGTCTTGAAATTTGGGATGTTACAAGTTGGTATCAGAGCCTTAGTTTGAGAGATTCGGATACACTCTCGGGTGTGTCTGAACTCAAACTGAGG